GGTGTGGTCGTTAGTTGTTGGTCTGTTAGAGTCGGTCTGTCGTTTGAGTTGTTTGAGAGGGGGAAGCATCATAAATCTTTTATTTTGGGTTTCAAGCATTAGATTGTGTTGAAAGTGGAACTCGAAAAATATGCATAGTGCAGTATCCTTATTTTATTTGTTAACTTAGATTTGAATTGTTTTTTTGGTGTATCATATTTAGTGCTCGCCGGTGAGCTGACATACTTGAGAATTCTTCAAATATACAGTTAGCTATGCTTGTAGAGCTAGATTTGAACGCTATAAAACTAATATTAGATGTGCACCCGAAATTCCCCCCCCCCACCGGGAACACCGCCCCGCAGCCCCCCCCCCCCCCCTCAAAACAAATCCTAAGAAAGCCTAAGGGAGACGCACCAGTACCGGCACCGCAAACCGGGACGAGTACCAAGGCAAACGAAACCGCCCCGCAGAAAACAACGCTCAAACAGACATGGGCCACCATTACGTCCTCCGGAATTGATGTGGACGGCTTCCGGCTAGTGCCAACAAGGAAAAAAAGACAAGAGCCAGCCCCAGGCATCCGAGAGACAGCGCCCTCGGCACCCTCAACCCCGCATGCCAGGCAAAGGAGGCTACTTATCCGGTCGGTAGAAAGAGGTCGCAGGATAGGCGCAGCAGGGCTGTCACCAGCAAGAATCAGAGACGCGGTCAACTCGGCATCCAGGGTTAAGTTCGCGTACGCAGAATTTAACCGAAATGACGACCTGGTACTCACCACCATGGGAGACCTACCGGCCGAACCAGCCCTCAATGACGTGCCGGCAATCACCAAGGCCCTAAACGGAATCGACGTTTTCGGCTTCAATGTCACCACAGACACACCGTCCATCAACATCGTCATCAATAGCATACCACTAGGGGACGAAGACTGGACACCCGAAGAATGGGACACGGACTCGGACAGATGGGAGGACCTAGCAAAGGAAATCTCTGAATACAACCCACAGGTCCGGCTGCTAGACAGGCCTAAGTGGCTCAGGTCCCCGACAGCGCTCAAAGCTGAAGGAAAAGTCAAGTCCTCAGCAATAGTGGCGGTAGAGGCAAACGACTGGATCATGGCCGAAACAAAAAAACCCCTCCCGAGCATGGCCATCTTTGGCATGAGGTGTACCTTCCGGAAATACGTGAAGAAAGACGCTTCAACCTGTTGCGCGAGATGCCTACAATTCGGACACCACGCCGTCCATTGCAGGATGGAAGCAATATGCAAATACTGTGGAGGAAGACACCACACCAAAGACCACCTCTGCGCACAGACGTACTGCACGGCCGGAAAAGGCAAGATGTGTTCCCATACCCTAAGAAGATGTGTTAACTGCGAAGAAACCTCTCATTTCGCCGGAGATAACCATTGCCCAACTAGGACAAGGGCGAAGTCCCCAGTACAACCCCCCACGGCCGCAGATAAAGGAAAAGCACCAGCAGTGCTGGCCCCCTCCCCGACGCCTAAATACATATGGCGACAACAGATATAATTTATCACAACGTCGGCGGGTCCATGAACGTTGTCACCGAGTTGATGAAACTCTCAAAAAAACGGAAACCGAAAATAATAGCGATTGCAGAATGCCCTCTTGAGAATGAGGACTGGATACATTTGGAAGGATTTACATGCTACGCTAGCACAAAGGCGACGA